GGTCTCTCAAAAAAAGGAACTCACATGATGCAAGAGATACATGATAAAATCATTTTTTAACTTATTTAACTAGAAGATGGGATAAAGAGATAGAGGAAAAGAGGTTAGTCTATTGTAATTTGGTCTCTAAAAAAAGGAACTCAAATGATGCAAGAGATACATGATAAAATCATAAAATTTTTAACTTATTTAACTAGAAGATGGGATAAAGAGAGATAGAGGAAAAGAGGTTAGTCTATTGTAAAATTGGTCTTATTTAACTAGAAAAAAGGAGAGGAAAACATGATACAAGAGATACATGATAAAATCATTTTAACTTATTTAACTAGAAGATGGGATAAAGAGATAGAAGAAAAGATGTTAGTCTATTGTAATTTGGTCTCTCAAAAAGGGACTCACATGATACAAGAGATACATGATAAAATCATTTTTTAACTTATTTAACTAGAAGATGGGATAAAAAAGAGATAGAAGAAAAGAGGTTAGTCTATTGTAATTTGTCTCTAAAAAAGGAACTCTGTATGATACACAAGATACATGATAAAATCATTTTTTAACTTATTTAACTAGAAGATGGGATAAAGAGATAGAGGAAAAGAGGTTAGTCTATTGTAATTTGGTCTCTAAAAAAAGGAACTCACCTGATACAAGAGATACATGATAAAATCATTTTAACTTATTTAACTAGAAGATGGGATAAAGAGATAAAGAGGTTAGTCTATTGTAATTTGGTCTCTCCAAAAAGGAAATTTATGATACAAGAGATACATGATGAAAAATCATTTTAACTTATTTAACTAGAAGATGGGATAAAGAGATAGAAGAAAAGAGGTTAGTCTATTGTAATTTGGTCTCTCCAAAAAAGGAACTCACATGATGCAAGAGATAGATGATAAAATCATTTTTAACTTATTTAAGTAGAAGATGGGATAAAGAGATAGAAGAAAAGATGTTAGTCTATTGTAATTTGGTCTCTCTAAAAAGGAACTCACATGATGCAAGAGATAGATGATAAAATCATTTTTAACTTATTTAAGTAGAAGATGGGATAAAAGAGAGAAGTTATTAGTTTGGTCTCTCCAAAAAAGATGTTAGTCTATTGTAATTTGGTCTCTCTAAAAAGGAACTCACATGATGCAAGAGATAGATGATAAAATCATTTTTAACTTATTTAAGTAGAAGATGGGATAAAGAGATAGAAGAAAAGATGTTAGTCTATTGTAATTTGGTCTCTCTAAAAAGGAACTCACATGATGCAAGAGATAGATGATAAAATCATTTTTAACTTATTTAAGTAGAAGATGGGATAAAGAGATAGAAGAAAAGAGGATAATGATAAAATCATTTTTTTATTTTTTGGATAAATTATCAAGATGAAAAGAGGTTAGTCTATTGTAATTTGGTCTGATCAAAAAGGAATTTCACATTTATGCAAGAGATAGATGAGGAAAAATCATTTTGGTCTCCAAAAAGAATTTAAGTAGAAGATGGGAAAAAATTTTAAGATAGAAAGAAAAAGAGGTTAGTCTATTGTAATTTGGTTCTAAAAAGGAACATCACATGATGCTTAGATAGAAGATGGATAAAAGAAAAAAATTTTTTAACTTATTTAACTAGAAGATATGGGATAAAGAGATAGAAGAAAAGATGGCATAAAGTATAGAGGAAAATTGTTAGTCTATTTAATTTGGTCTCTAAAAGGAACTCACATGATGCAAGAGATACATGATAAAAATTTTTTAACTTATTTAAGTAGAAGATGGGATAAAGAGATAGAAGAAAAGAGGTTAGTCTATTGTAATTTGGTCTCTCAAAAAAGGAACTCACATGATGCAAGAGATACATGATAAAATCATTTTTAACTTATTTAACTAGAAGATGGGATAAAGAGATAGAAGAAAAGAGGTTAGTCTATTGTAATTTGGTCTCTCAAAAAAGGAACTCACATGATGCAAGAGATACATGATAAAATCATTTTTAACTTATTTAACTAGAAGATGGGATAAAGAGATAGAAGAAAAAGGTTAGTTCATTGTAATTTGGTCTCTTCAAAAAGGAATTTTTATGATGCACGAGATACATGATAAAATCATTTTAACTTATTTTAACTAGAAGATGGAAAAAAGACCAGAAGAAAAGAGGTTCTATTGTAATTTGTCTTCCAAAAAAAGGAACATTGCAGAGATACATGATAAAATCATTTTAACTTATTTAACTAGAAGATGGGATAAAGAGATATTGGAAAAGAGGTTAGTCTATTGTAATTTTTTCTCTCAAAAAAGGAATTTCACATGATGCAAGAGATACATGATAAAATCATTTTTAACTTATTTAACTAGAAGATGGGATAAAGAGATAGAGGAAAAGAGAATATTGTTAGTCTATTGGACAATTGTTTGTCTACTTTGTCAAAAAGGAACTCTATGATACACGAGATACATGATAAAATCATTTTTAACTTATTTAACTAGAAGATGGGATAAAGAGATAGAAGAAAAGAGGTTAGTCTATTGTAATTTGGTCTCTCAAAAAAGGAACTCACTATTGATACAAGAGATACATGATAAAATTCATTTTAACTTATTTAACTAGAAGATGGGATAAAAGAAAAGAGGAAAAGAGGTTAGTCTATTGTAATTTGGTCTCTCAAAAAAGGAAATTCATGATACAAGAGATACATGATAAAATCATTTTTTTTATTTAACTAGAAGATGGGATAAAATAGATTAAATTAATATATATCTAATAATTTGATAAAAGAAAAAAATAATAAAATATGATTGAAAGATGGGATACAAGAAAATCGTTTTCATTTTTATTTATTTATTTTAGAAGATAGGAATTTTAAATTCAAAATTCCATTTTTAATTGAATTTGGTCAATTCCATTGCTAAAAAAAAAAATTTCTACAAGATACATTTAAAATATTTTAAATTATTCATGCATGGGATATATATTGAATGAGTATATTCAATCTTACATTAAAAATGGGATTATAAAAAATAAAATTCCTTTATTTGATATTCTGTTTTTAATGTGCAAAATGACAATTTTATGCAATATTTTAAAAAATATTAAATTTATTTTACATTTATTATAAGATACAAAATTGTTTCAAAACTATACAAGAATTTTTAAATATATTAAAGTATATTTTCTATCTAAAATTTTATAGGGGATCTAAAAATTATATTAATGGTATATCTCATATATTTTATCTTATGTATATAGTTTTAAAAAAAAATATATCTTCTGTTGAATCTATCTTTTTTTTTCAAACAAAAATAAAATTTATTGCAATTTTTATTTTAGCCCATTTTTAATCAATTATTTATCATCACTAAACCATGCTAAAATTATTTAATCTATAAAAAACAATATTTTTCTCATTAACATATGGTCACTTTTATTTAGCAATTCTTTCATTAATTAAGATATGGTTTTTACCAATTTTTTAAATATGATGATTTAAAGTCATCAGTTAAATATATTTAATAATATTGTCTAATAATTTTATTAAAAAATGTGAAATAGATATAAATATTAAAATGTAATGTTGAATATGATTGAATTAATATGTATATTAAATTTCGATCAATATTCGTAATGTGTTTATGACAATCAGGATGTATTTTTCTCTGGCCTATCACAGGCAGACATTGCATTCCATAAATATGAACATAAAACACTGCATTATATTTCATTTAATTCATTTTATAAATAAAAATCATTAGACAAAATAATAATTATACATATAATAGATCTATTTATCAGTTAGCTTGCATTCATTCCTGACCACTGACAATCCCTTTCTGATCTCATTTGCAATGCATTCCTATAGTAAAACATTGATAGAAAATAATAATTATAATTTAGAGAATATTATTCTATCAGTAATGCTTGGATTCATTATGACCAATTAAATCTAATTATCTCATTTGCAATGCATTCCTATAGTAAAACAATGCTACAAAATAATAATTATATATATAATAGCCCTATTCTATCAGTAATGCTTGCATTCATTCCTGACCACTGACAATCCCTTTTTCCTCATTTTCAATGCATTCCTATATTAAAACACTGCTACAAAATAATAATTATACATATAATAGCCCTATTCTATCAGTAATGCTTGCATTCATTCCTGACCACTGACAATCCCTTTTTTAAGGATTTCCAATGCATTCCTATAGTAAAACACTGTTACAAAATAATAATTTACATATAATACCTTCCCTATTCTATCAGTAATGCTTGTATTCATTCCTGACCACTGACAATGTTTTTTTTCATTTGCAATGCATTCCTATAGTAAAACAATGCTACAAAATAATAATTATACATATAATAGCTCTATTCTATCAGTAATGCTTGCATTCATTCCTGACCACTGACAATCCCTTTCTTGCTCATTTGCAATGCATTCCTATAGTAAAAACACTTACAAAATAATAATTATACATATAATAGCCCTATTCTATCAGTAATGCTTGCATTCATTCCTGAACACTGACAATATTTTCTTCCTCATTTGCAATGCATTCCTATAGTAAAACATTGCTACAAAATAATAATTATACATATAATAGCCCTATTCTATCAGTTGATGGATGCTGAATGTTTTCAGATAAGGAAACAGCTATTATCATTTTGATATTGGAACAGATATTACACTTTGATCTTACTAAAATCACTTGATTTTCTTTACTTTTTCACAACCCTGAAGATGAGTCATTTGAGCCAAAGTCTTGGATGCAGACTGAATCTTGGATATGCCTTGCACCCACAGCAGTCAGGTTTGCAAAAATGCTTTGCAATTTGTAAAAACTGATAGATAAAAATGCATTTTCTTTTTTATATATATGTAACTTGTTTAGATGATCAATTGCTGCTTAATTATACTAAATATGAAAATATCAGCATTTTACAGTACAGATGCGTTCAAACTTTGACCTTCCATGTCCTTTACCCTTCTCCCCCCCACTAAAAAAAAAAAATCAACACAGCATACTTACTTCTTTAATGCAGCCATTATTTTGTGGGTAATTTGCTGTTCCCCCATTTACGAGGGTGTCTTTGCCATTTTGGGAAGGTGGTGTCTCAATGGGGCAAATGTAACTGTCTGTTTGACTCTCTGATTTACTACGCTTATGACCAAACAGCAAAAAGTTGTTACGACGCTGAAACAAAGAGAAAACAGTTTTTTTATCCAAAATAAACAACCCCAACAACTACAATTTAATCAGAATCTCATATCTAAAAGAAAGAGAAATAGTAAAATAAATCATGTCACAAAACAGACATTTTTAAATTTAGTCATCAATATAAAATATTATTCCTTATAATACTATTTTCACGGAAAACAGGTTTTGCTTTTTTGAATAATGTAAATTCAAAAGTACCATATACCTGAACAGCACAAGAATTAGTAACTATAGTAATATATTTTATGAATTAACCATTTGAGATTATAATCTGTTGTTAATGTAGTACTAAATTGCAATTGAAGACATATGTGCCATTACTAAATTAAATATTGTTTATGAATGTAGATAATTTTTGTTATTTGTAATATTTTCTTATTATTTGAGTGATGGAGAAATTTTATCTCGTTTACTAAGATCTCATGTATAGGGTGCAATGGATATATTATTGTCTAAATTATACAAAAATGAAAATAACCCTGACATCTCACTTTAACAGATATATTTACACAAAAATATCATGAAATATTAAAGAGTAAATTTATTAAATAAAATCGCCACTGGCTTCAACTAAGGCCTCCAGATGATTTTGGAATCTCCTACAACTATTATGGACAGTTTTCTTGTTTAAATTAGTAAATGTTGCCATAATCCTTGCCTTCTATTTATCTTTGGTGTTACAAGGAGTTTTGTTGGTCTCTTGCTCAACTGAGCCCAACACATAATAATCAAGGGGGTTGTAGTCTGGGGAGTTAGATGGTCAGATGTAAGGGATGATATGATCACAGAAATTGTCTAAAAGCCATGACTGGGTTCTTCTGCTTGTGTGGCATGGTGCAGAGTCCTGTTGCCAGATACAGAGTCTTCCAGCAGCCACCCTCTTGATCCAGGACAGCACTAACTCCTCAAGGCACTTGATGTAGGCCTCCATGTTGTGTCTGAGACCCTAACCATCAAATTCAGTTCTTTTCTTAACAAAATGATCAGAGTGAGTTTTCTAAGCTGCTGTACCTTTGTAATCAGCATTAGACTCATCCAGCTCTTTCCGAAACCACTGCACTGTCCTCAGATTGACATCCAAAACACTCTGAAACGTTCGTATTGTAGTTTACAGCATGAATGCCAAGCAGTACAGCATGCCGTTCCCAAATTTCTGATGGAGTGAATTGTGTGACTGTGCTCCTTTTCTCACAGACGGTGCCCAACTGACCCTACTATGCTGTGCTGTCAACAAAAACAAACAATGCAAAATTAAAAATATAAAATGGCGACAATTTACCCATCGCACCCTGTATATTATCATAAATCATTATATTTATTTGCACTCTGTTGAGACAAATGACAAGTAAGTTGACGAGAAAGAGATGTGGTGCTAAAACCAATGAATATAACAATTTTTCGGTTATGAGACGGAATCTGCTAATGGTCACTTAAATCTACTAAGATCTGACAAATTATCAAAACCTGCCTTGCTACAATCACATTGAATCACTGTCATTCGTTACATATTCTATTAGCAAGAAGGAATTTCCACCCAGAAAGCTTCTTTTCAAGAACAGCTACTTTGTGTAACAGATTCCTCTGTGGGTGCATTTCCCATGCATTATGATCTAAACCTTTTCAAGTTTCACGTTTGTTGTTATCTATCCTCCATATCCTCATAATCTTCACTTCCTGCTCTTACGTTCATATCACATGCCTCATTTGGTCAACCTCTACCTTGAGTAGCTCTCGGGCCTTGCATTAGGTAAATTTTATTAAAAAGAAAAAGATAATGCTTTCAAATTTACCTTGACTTTGGTATTTGGAAATAGGGGTTGGTAATCTGGAGACGTTTCAAATTCTCGTTTCTTGTGTTGTTGATCATTGCCAATGAGGGAGACAAAATGTGTACTGAGATGTCTTCGTAAAAGCGATTTGTTTGCAGGGATAGACAAAACTTGGGAGAAAAGTTCGGCATTGAAGCGAGGTTCCAAAACCTGCAACAAAAAGATACAAAAAAAAAAAAAAAAAAAAAGGCAGGGTCATTAGCAATCACAACTTTTAGGTTATCATAAAACGTAATTCTTAAGCATTTTTGGTCTTCATCCAGCTGTCTATATGGTGAAGAATTCTTTTGTAACCTAGAAAAGGTTACCGAATAAGAATAACCAAAACAAAGATTGGAAATGGAATGGTAATCTTTCTAACATTAACATCATACAAGAATCACCAGCAGCATGTAATAAGTAATCCACTGCTAGTGGTGAATTCCCAATCCACTCCAGACAGTATATTCCACTGTATTTATGAGGATTGGGACATACCCATTTTAGTCCATAGGTATGTTATAAAAAATTCCTTCATATAATAGGATGGAGATGGCCAAGGTCATTCTGGGAGAATAGACAAATCTGATACAATATTAGAGTAAGACCAATGAAGTGAAGCAATTGACAAAACATACTTTATTTTGTTTTATGGCATGTCAACATCTCAATGGGTTATTTAATGCCGAAAAGATGTTCAGGATACAGTTGTATGAATAGAATCTGTATTCTTTGTAAGAAATCAATTTGTAGATAAGGGTTTTAGTTTATTTGGTTTTATGGCATATCAGCCTTAATGGGTTATTTAAAGCTGACAAGATTTTTAGGATAGGTTCGTATCAATAGAATCTGTATTCTTTGTAAGAAATCAATTTGTAGATAAGGGTTTTAGTTTATTTTGTTTTATGTCATATCAGCCTCAATGGGTTATTTAAAGCTGACAAGATTTTTAGGATAGGCTCATATGAATAGAATATGTATTCTTCGTAAGAAATCAATTTGTAGATCAGGATTTTGTTTTATTTTGTTTTATGGCATGTCAACATCTCAATGGGTTATTTAATGCCGACAAGATTTTTAGGATAGGTTCGTATCAATAGAATCTGTATTCTTTGTAAGAAATCAATTTGTAAATCAGGATTTTGGTTTATTTTGTTTTATGGCATGTCAACATCTCAATGGGTTATTTAATGCAGACAAGATTTTTAGGATAGGTTCGTATGAATAGAATCTGTATTCTTTGTAAGAAATCAATTTGTAGATCAGGATTTTGGTTTATTTTGTTTTATGGCATGTCAACATCTCAATGGGTTATTTAATCTTAAAACAAGATTTTTAGGATAGGTTGATTATCAATAGAATCTGTATTCTTTGTAAGAAATCAATTTGTAGATCAGGATTTTGGTTTATTTTGTTTTATGGCATGTCAACATCTCAATGGGTTATTTAAAGTCGACAAGATTTTTAGGATAGGCTCATATGAATAGAATATGCATTCTTTGTAAGAAATCAGTTTGTAGATCAAGGTTTAGGTTTGTTTTATGGCATATCAACTTCAATGGATTATTTAATGCCAACAAGATTTTTGGGATAGGTATGTATGAATAGAATATATATTCTTTGTAAGAAATCAGTTTGTAGATAAGGTTTCATTGACATATTTTTCTAAAGAGGGTTTTTGTCAATCAAGTGTCAAATGTATTACCGGTAATATTTTTTCCAAAAATGTATTGCTGGTAATAATTTTTTATTCAAACATGTATTGCTAGTATTCCTTCTACAAAAACCCATTTTTACATTTTCACAATGTTAGGACCCCAGTTTGGGGGTTAACTATTTGCCCATATTTGGATCCTAACAGGTGCTATCACCCCTGGTCAGGGTGGACCTGGAAACACCAGCAATTAAGAGGTGGTTCCATGCTTCTCAAAACCTCCTGATCAGAGGCTTTGCTGCAAGATGTAGTTTACCATCATACCCAGGACACATTTTTTCAGGGGAACAAAATTTTATTAGCACAATAAAAGCAGACATATTAAAATGCATTCCAGAAAAAAAAGGAAAAATTTGTAACAAAACTGTAGGGGAACAAAAATATATGGTTGGATTGTTTTATGGCTAATTAACTTCTCATGGGTCATTTAAAGCAGAAACAAGTCTTAAATTGCACAAAATTAAAATTGTATTCAACTGCAGATTTTTTGTAGACAATCATACAGTATTAACTACTGCTTTCTTTTTAAATATATATTGCTGTAAAAATGGTCATACTGAAATATAATGATTAAAATCACCTAAACTAGTTTGTCAGTCTTCTCTCATCAAAGCAAAAATCGAAAACAAATAAGGAGTAAAGCAACTAAAAAAATACCACTCCTGCTGCTTACAGAGAGATGGCTGGCAGGACTTAATGTAAATAGATTCCTAAATTTTCAAGTTGATAATCGGTGTTAGCCTTACTCAGCACTAAGAACATGTCAAAGTTATAAGATCAGAAACACTTGATGGTTCTTAATCAAATGCTGAACAATTGCTGAACCAGATACATTACTGCACCTATGTAAACTGCTCACCTTTCCCTTGCGATCATTGGCTGGTTTAGATGTTTTTAATCACTATTATATTTCAGTATTACCATTTTATGGTAATATATATTTTTTCTTACCACTCTTTTAGGTTATGAATTGCTTTTAAGCATGTCGACTTTTATTGCTCTAATAGGAATATCTACATATGTTGAAACACCAGATCTTGAAGTTAAGCCACATCAAGCCTGGCCAGTACCTAGATGGGTGACTACTTGGGAAGACCAGGTGCTGTAAGCTTGAATGTGCAAGTGGCCACACTTACTAAATTGCCATATTCCAAAAACAAGCATTGCTGGAGGTAGATATGAGTTACATCAGTATGTAAAGGATGAAATGAAAACAAAGTGTGAATTTCAAGAGGGGGAGGTTATGTAAATAATGCAGCTTAGCTCTCAATTGGTAAAACTAAAAATAACATTTTTTTTTCTTTTGGTACAGTACGTATTCAGATAAGAATAGTAACAGAATAAAAGTAAATAAATGAATACATGTTCAATGACAAAATTTTCATGGCCACTTAAATAAGAGATGTGTTCTTTTCATTGTAAATTTTGAGATGAGGAATTATCATTTACACTATTTACATCGTTCAGACTGCTGTCCTCATCTTTATTGCCATATTCACGATATTTCGGCCTTCATCATGTGATTGTAATTTCAAACCGATCTCTTTATTTTGTCCACTGCTGTAGATTGTTCTAGTTCCATGTGCCATGCCTCTTCCAGATTTCTCAGTATCAGTTATCTCCCTTTTAACTCAACTCTTTTTTTTTTTTTACCTCAGGCAAGGTGTTTAACTCACAACTTCAACTGAATATATTTGTAAAGCAATTTCATGCCTTCAACTGCATATATTTGGAACGCAATTTCATGCCTTCAACTGAATATATTTGGAAAGCAATTTCATGTATTCAACTGCATAAATTTTGTACATAATTTTATAGTTTCAGAGTAAACGCATATTTTATAGTTATATACTTTGTGGATGATCTCTTGTAGGTGTTATATGTTTTGATTTCTTTAAGGTAGGATATTATGCTGACATCTTCAGTATTTTCAAATAGTTTTCTCAGGTTTTCATTGTAATATCTGTGTCTTCTAGGGGCCTAAGTGCAGTGGTGGTGGTGGGGTTCTCTTTAGAGGTGTAAACAGCATATTTTACAGCCCCAGGTTACAGTGCAGAGCTTAAGAAGATTCCTAAAGATTTGATGACAAGATATTGTAAAAATGGTGGAATTGCTCCAGTGTGCCTCTATAGAACACTTCAATGTTATGGCGAAGAAGGTGGAGGTTCATCGGACACACTTTAAGGCAATATGCAAAGAACAACTGACCTGGACCTTCCTCAAAAGAAAAAGTTGAAAGAAAAGGCCAAAAATGACATAGTGTATGAAAGGGAAGAGCAATGGATTGACAATCTTGGGGGTGAAGTGCAAATGGCAGCTATAGACAGGGTAAAGTGGAGATGTTCTGTGGAGACCTTACATGCTACGAAACACCAGACAGATTGATGAATAAAGTAAAAAAATAAATAAAAAATGATTCTAACCATCAAGGCTCCATGGACACCACTACCTCGTAGATTGGGTGCATACTCAGAAAGATCAATTGTTCTTAACCATTCCATAACTCGATGGTTTGACCACAACATCACTTCATTGGCAATATTTTGGAGATTTCCCTGAAAAAGAGAGAAAAATGTGTGAGACGGAAAAATGCAAGACATGGACAGATTGATTTGGGTTTTTTTATAGCTTACCAGATTTTGAAGTTTATTCAGAAAATATTTTTAGATTATAAGAATTCTTTTGGAGATAATAATGATTTAGTGATACAACTCTTACTAATTAACCCATAGCTGGGAGGAGTGATAGATTCATACTTTTCTCAAGCATATTTGCAAGTAAGTGAATATAATGAATCCAACGGGAATTGGAACTCGGCTCACTGATATAACAATTACAAGCTGTTATCCATTACTGCAAGTGGTCACTCATCTCAGTGCTGACCAAGCTAGACCCTGCTTAACTGCATTGATTGTATGGGAACTTGTGTTTCAACGTGATTTTGCCGCAAGTTTAAATTGTTAGTTTCACACTAGGCCAATTTTCAGATGACATGCCCCGAAGTAACAATTTAGATTGGGGTCCCTGAGTATTATTTGAGGTTTGTTATTGTTCTAGCTCTGCTTAGTTTGATTTTTAAAGGTATTGAGCACTTTAGGTTTTTTGTTTAGGTAGGTGTCTGTCTTTTCTTTTTTCATTGTTCTTCTGTTGTTTTTTTTTATGTTTTCTTCTTTGGCAGACTTGGAAGGGGTGTTTTTTAATACTTTACGGTAGAAAGGGATTCATACCTAACCAGAATTTGATAAGCAAGAAATTCAAATGTGAGCATAAAGTGGAGGATCAATTCTATATTACAATCAATATATAAACTGATTACTCACTTTGTAGCCATGTCAGTTTCTACACATTTATATTCCAGAGAATTTAAAAAAATCTGAAAGACATGCCTGTGTAGCTAATCAGCATTTGATTGATCAACTTGTTTTTGCAGCTTTTTTTAAGCCAGAAAATATTTTATACTGCAATAATTGTTTGGGAGATAATAATGATTTAGCGATACAAATTTTACTAATTAACCCATAGCTGGGGGTGTAGAAGAGGTGGATTCATATCTTTCTGCAATACGTTTTGCACATGAATAAAACAAACCTGACTGAAACTGGAACTCAGTTCTCTGATTTCCAATTCTGAGCCATTATTTATGACACCACCAACATATCCAAGCCTCCAGCAATTGGTATTCCTAAGTGGTCACATATCTAGGTATTGACTTAACTTCAGTGATTGTAAAAAAACTGGTGTTTCAATCTGATATGACTGTAAGTCGGTTGGAGATGGAAAAAAGTTTTTCTAAATGGCAAACACACAGAAGTGCGATAAAAATTATTTTTAAGAAAAAAAATATTAAAACTGTATGAGAAAAAAAACCATTAAAAAATGGTGGAATTGTGTAAAATGGAATATAAAAATCATATTAAATTGCATGAAAAACTAGTTAAGAAAATGTAATAAACATAGTTTCTTTAAAATAGAAAACGCCAAAATAAAACCAGATGGGTAAAAAAATAATAATAAAAAAAATTTGTGAATAAATATTGATGTAGAAAAATTTGCCAAAAAAGAGGCTCTATGTTGATTCCAATGACTACAAAAGACTTTCCCCTCCCTGGTTTATAGGCAGAAGCACACAAGAGATGAAAATCAATTCACATAAACCAGGCTTGTGACTTTTACCCACCTTTTGCTGAAATCTGCCAATAAAATCTTTCCCTTCCCCAATTTATAGGCAGAAGCACGCAAATGCATGCTGGGATTTCTTCCTAGCTAATAAGATAGTCAGATGAAACCAAGAACCGGCCTAAGTTCCAGTCTGTCTTGACTTGAAGTCAGAACTCTGTATTTGTTCATCCAAATTTGCCCTTGTGTGTCAACTCCAATTGTTAGTTTGTGAACAATTTGCCATTTTAGAGATTAGTTATTTCAATAATTAAATGTGTAAAGTTTCTTACAGGATCATTTTATAGCACATGGAATACTGGCAGTGTAAAGTGTACATTCACAAAATAACTGACCAACTGACTTGCAATGCAAAGATAACATTTTATTAAAACAAAATTAACAAAAAGAAAGTCTAAAACAAGAGTTTTTTTTAGTTAAATGTAAATTATATACACAACGAAATGTTCATTAGTATGTTATAGTGGGAACTTACATTGTTGGTGTATTTTATGTAAAGCATTTGCAGCCCTTGTAGCTTCAGTGTGGAAAGTTCATGCCATCAATTCGAAAGAGGGAAAACCCGGGAAAAACATTACTTTAGGGCTCACATGTTTTTATATTCGAATGCTTCTGCTGATATAAGGTTTATTTGGAACTGCTACAGCTACTATCTTTAATGTAACTACATTATTTATTCTAAATAAGTTTTTCTAAATAAATATTCTTAAAGACTCCAGTTGTATTTTCAACTTCTTTTTCCTATATATTTTACCCCTGCAGGTATATATATATATATATATATATATATATATAAAACTTTTACTTTATAATATACACACACACATTATATATATATATATATATATATATATATATATATATATATATATATATATATATGTGTAAACAAATTTCGTTAAATTCAACCAACAAGGTCTGTTTATTTAATTTTTTATTGTATTTTTTCAATTTTCTAATTGTTACATATTGGATTAGTGATTAACTATTTCAATAATTAAATGTGTAAGGTTTCTTACGGGAACATTTATTTATATATATATATATATATATATATATATGTGTGTGTGTGAATACATTGAATACTCTTTTTGTGGATCAGTTTTAATATTTTATATTATTAGAATTCACTTGGATTATTTACCAACAGATTATTACCTGTAGTATATATATATATATATATATATATATATATATATATATATATGTATGTATGTATGTATGTATTCAAGAAATCTCTTGACCAATTCAGTTTGACCCTGATGATCATGTGCAACATCCTGAAGTCGGTGAAGTGATAAGTTGATTGAACATTTATTGTTTTATTCATTTTATTGAATACTGTCGCTCTTGTTATCTATTGAGCACTTTCTTGACAAAAATTCAGCTAAACTAAAAAGTACATTGCATTCTTGTAATTTTTTACTGTTTTGATAGCAGTTATTGATTTGCATTATATATATATATATATATATGATAAAAATATAGTTTTAAGCTATGTTATATTTATGGGTAACAGTGCTCAATATCAGTGATTGAGTGTATGCAAATATAAAAGTAAACACTGAGGTCAACACTGATTGGTGACAGTCTGTTTCATACTCAAATGCAATCTTCATTGCCTCAGGATTGTGTTTAAGCAGGAAACAGACTGTCCCCAATCAGTGTTGACTTAAGTGTCAACTTTTATATTTACATATGCTCAATCCTTGATATTGTGCACTTTTACCCATAAATATAGCATACCTTAAAAATATATATTTTTAAATTAAATCGGAATACAGGTTCAATTGTTGTTCACATGCATATTTTCTTTAATAAGACATTGTATCTCTACAACAGCAGATATTAATTTCACTGCTTAAACAAACAAAAACAGTGATGTCTACTCAAGTGATGCCTACATCATATATATCATTTGTTAGGATAGTTGTTCTCCTGCCTGATGATCCCTTTTCAGATGAAACTATAGTAGTATTAAGTGTACAAGTATTGTTTTACTTTCTACTCTTCATTTAGAATTTTACTCTAACTCTGCACTTTAGTATTTAACACTGTTATTAACTGCCATCACTTTTCAATATAATGTTTATACATATTACAAAACTTTTATAGCCAAATATAATATTTAATATTTATTACAATATATACACACTTGCACACATACACACAACAACAACAAATGCAAAAAAACTGCTCAGAGACTCTGATCTGAAATTGCAATCCTGATTTTCATGCTAAGGTAATCTTTGTCATCTGAAAATTGCATTTGTGCGAAACTCACAATTTAAGATCAAAGTCCCTGAGTACTATTTGGTGTTTGTTATTGTTCTAGCTCTGTCTTAATTTTATTTCTAGAGACATTGAGCACTTCAGGTAGGTGTTTTTTTCTCATTTTTCCGAAGTTTTTCTTCTTTGACAGGAATGCCCCTTTCATGATTACTTGGCTTATGTATTCACAGACAAACATATACACATTTGAGATTCCAAAAACAAGATTTTATCATGCATACGTTATTATTGTGAGAAAAATATTTTTTTTATATTTAAATTCAAAACATCGGAAGGGAAAACTCTTACCTCATCTGCAGATGGTCTTCGTTTGAGACACTGCGGATCAAAATTATGATGTCTCAAGGCCTGTATGGCTCTTTTGATGCTGATGTGATGAAGTTCATTTGTTACTTTTAGGGACAACAGGTCATCCTGTTAAAAGTGAAAGTGAAAGTATCAAACAATAACCATTACACAAATTTACAAATCAATACAATCATGTTAGTTCTTCTTTATGTTAACAACATTCAATTGAATCTCTGCTTTTCAAGCTTACAAACATGGAGGCAATTAAGACAAGGTGATTAAAAAATATAAGACTTCAATGTGACAAGATTACATTCCCAACAGCTGACATTGTCCAATGAAAAGTATCACATCTGCTTCTTTCCTTTTCATATTTTCTCTGTCATTAGATATGTAATCATTAGAGGGAAGGAAGTTGCAGCAATTCCTTTTGTCAGATTTGCAATGCATTTATATAGTAAAAGAAATAGCAATTAGCATTATCCTATAGTAAAAGAATTGCCAACACATTATTCTATAGTAAAAGAATTGCCAATGCATTATTTCTATACTAAAAGAATTAGCAATTAGCATTATCCTATAGTAAAAGAATTGCCAACACATTATTCTATAGTAGAATAATTGGTAATGCATTATTCTATAGTAAAATAATTGGTAATGCATTATTCTATAGTAAAATGATTGGTAATGCATTATTCTATAGTAAAATGATTATTTTTCACTATACTAAAAGAATTAGCAATGCATTATTTTTTACTATAGCAAAGGAATTGACAATGCATTATTTCTGTAGTAAAATAATTGGTAATGCATTATATTTTACTATAGTAAAAGAATTGTTATCACATTATTCTATAGTAAAAGAATTTGCAATGCATTATTCTATAGTAAAAGAATTTGCAATGCATTATTCTTTAGTAAAAGAATCTGCAATGCATTATTCTATAGTAAAAGAATTTGCAATGCATTATTCTTTAGTAAAAGAATTTGCAATGCATTATTCTTTAGTAAAAGAATTTGCAATGCATTATTCTTTAGTAAAAGAATTTGCAATGCATTATTCTATAGTAAAAGAATTTGCAATGCATTATTCTATAGTAAAAGAATTTGCAATGCATTATTCTTTAGTAAAAGAATTTGCAATGCATTATTCTATAGTAAAAGAATTTGCAATGCATTATTCTTTAGTAAAAGAATTTGCAATGCATTATTCTATAGTAAAAGAATTTGCAAAGCAATATTCTTTAGTAAAAAAATTGGAAATGCATAAATCTATAGTAAAAGAATTGCAAATGCATAAATTTATAGTAAAAGAATTGCAAATGCATTAATCTATAGTAAAAGAATTGCAAATGCATTCCTATAGTAAAATATTTTACAATACATTCCTATAGTAAAAATAATTTTATGATAAAATCCCATTAATTGCAAAAATTATACATACTTATATAAAACATATAACATGAAGTGGAAAGATTATATTGAATCAATTGTTTGGTCTGCTGCTCATCAAGTTGATTCACTGTGTGATGCTAGACAATTTTTCTTGCCTGAATCTATCTTACATATTTATAAGTCTACCATTAGTCCTTGCTTATAATATTGCTGCTATATATTTAGAGATCCTTTGATAAAAATCAAAAGAGGAATCTTCAATATCATTGGTCCTGACCTGGTATCTTTACTTCAGTCACTTTCCTACTGCCATAATATAGCTTCCCTGTGCCTTTTTCTGTAAATACTTTTATTCTTTATACTTTTCCTCTATAGTACCTAGACTCTCTGAATTAAAGTGCACTATGAGATTGATAGCATGTTCTCATCATTTTACAGTTGTAAGTTCGATGCTGACAGTTTCTTCTGTCACACTTCTTGCTTGTGGAACAAACTTCTGGCTTCTTGCTTCCCAGTCAACTTTGATTTTCAGAAATTTAAATACAATGTCGGTTGGTTTTAGTCTCTAGGAACGATTGCTAATTAGTAGATATTTCCAGATATTGTTTGTTGAAAGTATCCGGTACATACCACAGTCATATAATGAAGCATCAGACCGTCTATTCGTGCATCATAAAAACTATCCTTATACTGCGGGATTCCAATATCATCAAGCCACCCTGAAAATATGACAGAAATTAAAATAAAAACATTTTAAAAGCAATAACTTAATGACTGAATATTGAAATTCTTTGAGAAATAACACACCGGGGGGGGGGGGGGGTGAAGAAATAGAACAAACCGTATGTTGCATGAATTTATGTCATTTTTTGTTGGTTGGGTTGAATATTTAAGTATTGTTCATATTTTGGAGATATATATATATATATATATATGAGGTGCAAGAATTCATCCAAACAAGTTTTGTTAAATTCAGCTGACAAGGTCTATTTCATTTTTTTCTTATTTTTAAAGTTTTTGAATGGAATGTTGTATATTGGGATTTAAATTATGAATAAACTGTCCAAAATCAATGTTTTTTTTTTCCTTTTCTTTCACCACTTTCAACTATGTCATATATGAATATTTCAGTATTGTTCATATTTTGTATATATATATATATATATATATATATATATACACACACACACCAACGGCTTCCCATACTTAATACTTCTCGAATTCACTGTCACGTGGTCATGTGTGACGTTATGAGCTGCAGTGCGATTTTCACTTCTAGCGTCTTATATGCACATGTTTATTGTTGCTTGGAAATCATCCATGTAAACAATAACAGACCATCATCACTGTCTTCTCCATATATTGCTTAATATGTTGTAATTGACATCTTTGATAATGTCTTATGTAAGCCAGAAGCTTAGATTGGATTAAAGATATGGATCAGTATTGTGATTTTCTTTTTTCATTTAATGATAATAATCTTATCAAGCTTATCAGACGTTATGAAAAGAATTTACATAAAATAGACAATACTTGTCTATATTATTTAATGAAACATGTATGAAAATATATATATATATATATATATATATATATATATATATATATATATATTTAATTTCTCTATATACATTATATATGTACAGTACTTATTGGAAAGTGCTCAATATCAGTGATAGAGCTAACATATTCAGTTGTATGGATATGAGTTTTCTAACCCTGGGTTTTTTACACTTTTGTGATCATTACACCATTAGACAAACTGATTTATTTTTAAAAATTGAATCTATTTATGCTAGTTTGTGTTTGACTATGATTGGTCTTGTTGGGGGGATCTCTTCTGTGTCCATTTGGGATGACACTCATACACATTTCATTTCCTGCAGAATGGGTTGACTTATCGAAATCGGGCAGAGTCTCTGGATTCGATCTCTTTATTTCTTCGGTACCAACCCATATTTATATGGTGGTACTCTTTTATAAACTTATATAAATTAGGTGTATCATACATATATATATATATATATATATATATATATATATATATATATATATATTATTTGTTGATATATAAAATTATATATACATATATATATAAATAAATAAATACTATTTGTTAATATATATATATAAATAAATAAATGAATAAATACTACTGGAAATTTATATATATTGTTTATATATATATATATATATATATATATATATATATATATATAGATAGATATATATATAGATATATATATATATATATATATATATAAAAAGAAAGAACAGTAAGATTTATAATCCGGTGTTCTTATAGATATTTTTATTTTTACAAAATAGTGCTCAATGTAAATTTACAAAGCATTAATATAAATTAATTGATTTAAAATATGGTTATATATATATATATATGTCAGACAAACATATTACAGTTTGTCTGACGATCGCAAAAGCATGAAACCCAGGGTCACAAACTCACATCAATCCAACCAAATATGTTAGCTCTATCTCTGATATTGAGCGCTTTCTAATAAGTACCGTGCATATAATATATAAATAATTATATATATTTATTTATATTTATACACACACACTTTTCACACACGCACATATATATATGTGTGTATATGTGTGTGTGTGTTATCCCCACTTCATTGTGTTAGGTTTGCCAAGACATTGTTAGGTGGAGCTGTTAAACAGCTTTAAAATGGGACACTTCCAGTTTTTCTTTCTGATTTTCTCAATTAAAAGAAATTAAAATTAATAATATCCGAAAAATTAGTAAAGAATATACTGGAGTGATGAGGATATTTGTTGTCATTTTATATTCAAGAGAGCAGGGCTGGAGTATCTTATAGGCTGGTATAGGCAGCAGCCTAGGGCCCCTAAATAGTTTCATAAACTAGAATGATATCAATATGGCAGACTCATATTTATTTGGCTTTGCAGAAAGCAAGTCAAGGAAAATAATGCTTTAGTTTGTGTCATTGTGTTTCAAGTAGATAACATGTTTTATTTTAGTTTGGAATGTTTAAATCTGTGGCAGACATGATGAGACAGATTCTGGCAGAGCACAACTGGTTGAACTTGTCCTTGTCCAAAAAAAAAAGCCCGTATTGATTTTTAGCATGTAAAGCTACTGCAGTTGAAATGAGGGAGAAAAAAGCACTTACCACTCTGCTGTAATCCGTCCTCGGCCAGATAACGTAAAAGAATGAGTGGGGGCTTACATTGCATTTTTATGCAATAAAAGATTGTGGCGGACATGAGACAGAACCTGGGACCAGCACAACTGGTCGCGACTTGCCTTGTCCCCGCCAAAAAAGAGCCCGTATTTGCTTAGCATGTAAAGCTACTGCAGTTGAAATGAGGGAGAGAAAAAAAAGCACTTACCGCTCTGCCGTAATCCATCCTCGGCCAGATAACTTAAAAAAGAATGAGGGGGACTGGCATCGCATTTTTATGCAATAACGATGCAATGCATTATGGGACGTGGGCGCAATGAATTATGGGATCATTGAGGTTTAAGGATTATGGGTATATGAACAATTATAAAAAGAACTTTTTTTTTTCCAAGTCGGGGTTATTAAGAGAGGCGTTCACGGTTGGTAGACGGCAAGAACGGGCAACTCAAGAAGGAACGACTCAAGTTTGAAATACCAGCTGGGAGAGCTTGAATTTACTCGCTGGTTACTATTTTCTTCATTCGCCACGAAATCATAGGAATTTAGTGATTTTAATATTCTACAGGGTGAGGCAAAAGTTGTGCACCATAAGAATAATTTATTAAAAGTTTAATTACACGTGAAGATTTTGTTTAATAATTATTTAATAGTTTTTTGTTCTATTCAAAATGTCCTCCACCTTTTTCAAAACATATTTCAATTCTGTACCTGCATGATTCATTAACATATCAGAAAGTTTCCTCTGCCATATTTCATTCTTTCTTTAAGTTCCTCAATATTTCTTGGGTGCGTCTGATAAACAACTGATTTCAAATGACCCCACAGAAAAAAATCCAAGTGTATGAGGCCTGGTGATCTCACTGGCCAATCAACAGGGTTTCTTTGACTCATCGATTAACCTGTATGGTGTGCAGCTTTTTCCTCACCCTGTATAACTATGTATCTATCTATCTATTTATATATATATATATATATATATATATATTATAAATTGATTGATTTAAAATATGTTTTTTTTCGCTACACAGTTCTAACCATGTTTCAAAAATGGAAGCTAAAAGCTACAAATTTAATTTTGTAATTAAATTAAAGACAATATCTATAAAAATATCTATAAGAACACCGGATTATATATCTTACTGTTCTTTCTTTCTTATATATATATATATATATATATATATATATATATATGTATCTATAACTTCTAGATTGTTTTATTGTTAATAATGCTAGTTATAAAAAATGCTGCTTTTTAATAGTTATATTGAAATCTGTGCTAATTTGGTTTGCAATAAATAGTAAAATAGTTGTATTTCTTAAAGATTATTTTTATTGACAAACAAAAGATGGCTATTTTAGTTTATTTAAAGAATTTGCAATAAGTGTGCTTGAAGCTATGTAAATGTCATTACAATATATTATGAGTAAAAAAAAATACTCAAGACGGGTGCTGGCGAATTAGAGAGTGGTTCCATCTAAATGGGGAGGGCATACTTTCATAAGGGCCACAATTGGTCAAAATCCGGCCCTGAGTGAGAGCCACCAGATATGTTGAGGCCCCCGTTAGTTGGTGTGACCTCTTAAATTTATATATAATGCAAAATACCACAAAATATGAAACAAGAAGAAGAAACACAAAAACGGTTTTATAACAACAAGATTTACATTTATATTTGTATAATGATGTACAGGCATAAGAGTTACTTCCCTTCGACTGGAATTAAAGTTTGTACTAATGGAATACTTTTTTATCCGAGCCCATAATAGGTTGAATGAACATGCTGCTCAAAATGTTCACTGTGAAAAAGTAGAAATAATTTTGTAAAGCTGAGAATATGTTGAGTAAACTTTTAGCTTTAAAAGAGTTGAAGGAGTGAATGTTCCGTAATGTCTCTAATTAAGTTTCATTGCTTGTAGTTGAATATTCGTAATATGTTAATTAGTAATGTTCATAATGAATTTTTTATATAGTTTCGTATGTAAGCAAATATATGGATATAGATCCGACAGTATGAAGAAAAATATACAGAAAAAACAAACAAAAATCTTAATATGCAATTATGCTGTATTAATGTTAATATAAAGTCAACGTCGGACGTTTCAGTCTATTTTAGACCATCATATATATATATATATATATATATATATATATAAAGGATTCCTGAAACGTTATGAAAGCAAATCAAAAATGATTTCAAATTTCATTTTTGATTTGCTTTATAACATGAAAGTTTCAAGCTTTGGAGACCAAATATGAAGATATAAGAACCTATTGATCTCTGCGTATTCCTATATCAACGGAAGGGATTTCTTGAACTGTTTATACAAGCAAATAGTTCAATCGAACTTGTTAAATATTTTAATATTTGGAAATCATCTTCGAATACGTTTTCACAACATCGCCCACGTGACGACGACATGATCATATTTAAACGGAACGCTGATCTTATATAAAAATTTCAGTTATCTGTTTGGATTAGTTGTGCTCTTATGTCCATCATCTTTTCATGTTGAATTTTATATGTTCTAATGTTAATTATGTTTTATGAATATGTCCTGATGATAGTCTAAAATAGACCGAAACATCCGACGTTGACTTTATATTAACATTAATACAGTATAATTGCATATTAAGATTTTTGTTTGTTTTTTCTGTATATTTTTCTTCATAGTTTCGTATGTACGGGTATGTGTGCATGTGTGAATATGTTTTCATAGCGTCCACCCAAACTGGGATTGGAATGCGATTTCTTTAACGGCTACATTTTCGTAATCACAAAGAAGAGTAGAGTAGAGGAAGAACAAACACGTTTCTAGTATTTATAATCAGCATAATCACGTGATATGCTCGAAAGGCATTGACAAATTTTGGGTGGAATTATTTTTTAGTCAGGTCAAGAACTAAGTTGATGTTATTCAGACATAGTTGAGAACATGATTTAAATATTAAGTGACCAATCAGAAGTTTGGGGTTTTCTAAAAATATGTATGAAGCTGAATAAGCTCTGTGATCCATTTTTTCACAGATTTGTACAAAAAATGATATTGATAAAAAAGTGGTAGCAGGATACTATAGATGTAAAACACAAATACTATAAATTATACCTTCAAACGAAAAATTGCTATTCAAATTATCTCCCTTGAATGAGAATTATCTCCCTTTGAAGAGGTACAAGTTGACCGAACTTACTTGTTACCCAATTAAAACTAAGAACTGAAATCCGTTCTTTAGGTCCGACATTGACTGCTTCCAAGGCCAGCTGAAGTTTCTTTCGATGAAGATAGTTCTTCATGCCCAATTCCTGACAAAATAACAAAAAGAATACAGAAATATTATATTATTTTCTTCATGTTTTAAACATTAAACTTCTTTTTCTCACAGTAGAAAAACAGTAAGTTTTCTTTTATTCTGTATTTAAAAATAATTCTAATAAATAATTTTCATTTCACTTATTTAATTGTCACTGTGTTTTTCATCTCTCGTTTAATTGTCACTTTTTCATCCTTCGTTTAATTGTCACTTTTTCATCTCTTATTTATTAGTCACTTATCTTTTTTATGAGGAACTTTTTCATCTTATTTGTCACTTCTTCATCTCTTATTTGTCTCTTTATCTCTTTATTATTTGACACTTTTTTATCTCTTACTTTCTGATAATACTGCCTTCTTGTCAAAAATTAAAAGATTTTTTTCAAACGCTCAAAAAAATTTATGTCAAGGTTTATTTATCAATGCAACAGTTTGAAAATTTAATGAATATTTGAATAAAGTCATAGAAAGCTAAGAAAAATATCTTAATTATATCTATCTATATATATATATATGATAAAAATATAGTTTTAAGGTATGCTGTATTTATGGGGAAAGTGCTCAATATCAGAGATAAAACATTTGTAATCACTGAGGTCAATGCCAAGCAGAAACAGTCTGTTTAATGCTTGGCGTTGATCTCAGTTCACACTCACTAACCCCCTTGCATCTTAGTGGCTTTATTTCCTTGTTTGTGGTTAAATGATTAAAAAGAATAAATAATAAAAAACAATCACAAATTGAGAAAGGCAGGTCAAAAGTCGCACCTAACTTCTGTTCCTGCTCGGTTGCAGTTGTTCATTTAACAAGAAGGAGGGAACTTTTAACATTACAAGTAAAACAGCTTCCTCCAGTTACTTAATAATCCTGCCCCCACAAGTAATGGTCAGGTCTTCCATTAATTTCTCCTTTCTTGTATCTTGTAAAACAAATGAGAAGGAATCAAACGACAGCTGTAAAAACAGAAATTCAGAACAAATTTTGACGCACTCAATGTTATTCTACTAACCTTTTCCAAATCATGGTGAGTTGCCTTGAGCAGCTGGTCACCAATCTTAACCCATCGTCTTGCTTCTGTCACATACATGTCTAATCCAATTTCATTTAGATAAATTTCTTTGAGATAATTCACCATCCCAGTGAACAAAAGGAACATCAGTATCCCTAGAAATTTGTTAAAAAGAAAATTTCTCATTTTTTGTCACACTTCTTAAATACAAGACTGAATACATACATACACACAGATTATATATATATATATTTGTAAAAAAGGTTGTATTTTGCTTTTAAATCTAAATAAATCGTTCACTTGCCAGTAATTTACAATTGCCTCATGAGATGCATTGATACACATCAGAACACCATTGCAATTGTGTCAGGATTTTGACAATTTTTTTTGGTGTAATATCCTAAAATAAATAATATATATAAATTACATAAAAGAGAAATTCAAAAATACCGTATATGTATAGCTATTAATTTATTTTTATCTACAAACCGCTTGGTGTTGACAATCCTTGCAAGGTAATTCTTGCTGGGAGAAATAGCTATACATATGGGGTATTTTTGAATTTCTCTTGTATAGCAATGTTGTGTGTAAAAAAAAGAAAATGTATATATATATATATATATATATATGCTCTGTCATAATAAATACATTGAGCTCTCTTTGTGGACCAGTTTTAATATTTTATATTATCGGGATTCACGTGGATTATTTACCCACAGATATATATATATATATATATATATATATATATATATGAAACCTGACAAATGGAGTGAACGATTACAAAAAAGTTTTAAAGACAAAACTCCACAGTTGAGGTGCTGAATATATCATCAATCAGCTAAATAATAAATTTTATTTGCATGAATCCTATATGTAAAATTCAGATATGGACAAACAAAAACAAAATGTATCTGTAAAAAGACAATATGGATAAAGAGAAAAGAAAAAAATATTCTTTAGCAAATTGTTTTTTTCTTCTGATGGACTTTATCAAAGCAAATGTAAGGAGTTTATTTTACAAGTATTTATAAACAAAAGTAAAAAAATGTTAAATTTAAGAAACACTCATAAATATTCATAAAGCCAGCTGAAAAGTCAAAGTAAATTATGGAGGATGCTAAGTGACACAATTTAATGTCTAACAAATAAATGGAATTAAATATTATTGCTGTTAAATGTTTCTTTTTTATTTGTTTATATATAATTACTTTATTTTATTATTATTATTGTAATTATTATATATTTATTTTTTTAAATTATTTACTAATAAATAAAAAAATTCAACAATATTTATCACTTTTTTTTTTATTAGATATTAAATTACATCCTTAGCATCACCATAGTTTACCTTGACTTTTATTTTTAGCAGCCTAAAGAAAGTTTTTTTTTAAGAGTTCTTAAATATAAAAATTTTGAAAGCCTAACAATGTTTTTACTTCTGTTTATAAATATGTGATGCAAAATAAAATCTTTGCATTTACCTTGATAAGGTCCATCAGACGATGAAACGTGACGATAAAGAATAGTTTTTATATATATATATATATATATATATATATATCCATCCATGTAAAATGAGAATGAATAGAGTACAATTCCAATGGTCATAACATTCAGTTTAAAAAAGGGCTCAATACAAAGTAGAACAATGTTCTTTATTTTGAGGATATGACATTAAAAACAAGTCAATCTCTACATAACTGCAGTCATGTTTTGATATTGAATCAGCTTATCTCATCAGGTATTAGTAAAAAAGCTCACCAGTTATTTACTAACACCTGATGAAATGCGTTAATTCGCATCTTAACACGACTGCAATTTTTTGACAGATTTTTTATGTAATATCCAAAAATATATATATATATATATATATATATATATATATATTTTAAGACAATTTTTAAGGTTTATATGTTCTTTTTATAGATACAAATATTTAAGTAAATCCTCTGTTTTATAATAAACGGTATTAACGACATTTACTGGCCTGAATGTCCAAGAAATTTTTATAGAAAAAATGCGTCATCTAACAGGAATGTCATCACATCTACTTTGGAATTTTCAATATATTTGAAAATTGCACCCGATGGCCATCGTCTCTTGGTTTTAAAACAAAATGGGACTAATGAATTTTTTAAACTACAATTATTTTTGATTTCCTTTGTACATTTAATTATCTCCAAAATTCATATCCAAATGTAAACAAATGTCATAACAGTTTATGAAAATGGAAAAAATCCAACAAGAAAAAGATTTTTTTTTAAAATAAAACACCTTTGACCTTTATAATTCTTTTTTAAATGCAAAAATTAAAGTTTAGGCTGTCATAATTTCTTTTTATAATTTTTGATTTAACTCATTGAAGAGATATTTCTATGACAATTTCTCAGACATTCAGGCTGGTAATGTTGTTAACATTCTATTTATTAAAAAATTTGCATTCTATTAAATTTTTTGTAAAGGTATTAGAACGTAAAAAAAAAAGTTTTTAAAATAATTGTCGGACTTTGTGCATTTCATATATATATATATATATATATATATATATATATATATAAATAAGTAAATAAATAAATAAGGTGCATTTAGGTAGCAAAAGTTCTTTAAAACAACACCAACAAGGTCCATCTGTCCAACCTTATTTCTAATTTTTCTAAATTCTGACTAAACTGTTTTATGCCAAAATTAAAATTGGTAATCTTTCCAAAGTTCATTTTTTTTTTGGCATCTGAGTACTTTGAAATGTTACTACAGTTACCAAAAATTGTTTGGAAAATTCTGTTGATTTTTAGTTTTCCAAAATTAATTTTAAGTTATACAACAGTGATATTACCTACAAAAGTCAAACTATATATACAAGTATAGGATTGGTATATACAGAATAAATTCCAATAAACAAAAATAATATTCTTCAAAGAGTGCTCAATACAGAGTAGAGCAAATATAATTATTTATTAGGAAATTATAACATATATATGTTATAAAATGACTACAAAAATAGCCATTTTGTTTCAACACTTCTGGTGCCTTATCAAGTGATGGTGTTGAATGTAGAATAAAACCCTTTATTCTACATTCAACAGCATCATTTGAGAAGACACCAGAAGTGTTTTAAATAAAATTATAGTCATTCTTTATATTTATATTATAATTTTCGAATAATTAATATATATATATATAATGAAATAGACAATTATTTTAATATATTTTGTGTAATATATGTTTTTTATAGATACAAATATTTAAATAAATGGTCTGTTTATAATAAACAGTATTAACATTTACCGGCCTGAATATCCAAGAAATATCATAAGAAATATGTGTCCTTCACCAAAAATTAAACCTGTATCCTACATGGAACTGTCATTTGGCTTGATGTGCTATACCATTTAACTACAGAGCAGATATGGTCATCCGAGAAAAATCATGGGAAATTTGTTCTTTAAAAACAGTAATTTGACTTTGCTAACCAGATGGTTCCTCTGTACCTAAATGGTATCACATCTCAGGCCAAATGATGATTCCGTGTAGGATACAGGTTCAATTCCTATCAGAGGACACATATTTTCTATGAAATTTCTTGGACTTTCAGGCTGGTAAATGTAGTTAATACTGTTTATTATAAATAGTGCATTTGCTTAAATATTTGTAGCTATAAAAATAACATAAACAGAATATACACATACAATTATATATATATATATATATATATATATTTCCAGGTAAGATGAGAACAAATAGAATACAATTCCAACGTTCATAACATTTCATTTAAGAAGGCTCAATACAAAGTAGAGCAATATTATTTATTTTAGGATGTTACACTGAAAACATGTTAAAATCAGGCAATTGCAATTTACAATTACCTGATGAGATGCAGAATTTCGAAACCGACTGCAATTATTAGCGATTTTGACATATTTTCAATGAAATACCATAAAATAAAATGTGTGTGTGCATTTCTATAGAATTAGAGATTTTTATTTTCTTAATCTGGCATATTTTTATTACTTCAAATATTATTTTTAGTGGGTACCTGTATTTGAGTAGACTTTCTCTAATTTTTTTTTAAGAAAAAAAAATCAGTATTTATTTTAAATATAGGTATACACAAAAAATAAAGTTTGCTCTAATATGTGTATATATATATATATATATATATATATATATATATATATATATGTGTGTGTGTGTGTGTGTGCACGCAGTAGTAAGTGCTGAAAATTTCTTTGCCCGTACTGCTTCTCAAAATCTCAGCAAATGATCTAAAATCAAAGTTCAGTACCTCATCATGTGTGTGTGTGTGTATATATATATATATATCTATATGAGGTGCAAGAATTCATCCAAACAAGTTTTGTTAAGTTCAGCTAACAAGGTCTATTTCATTTTTTTCTTATTTTTAAAGTTTTTGAATGGGATGTTGTATATTGGGATTTAAATTATGAATAAACTGTCCAAAATCAATGGTTTTTTTTTTCTTTTTCTTTGACCACTTTCAACTATGTCAGTCATTATCAAAAAATGGCTGTTGTCAGTATGGTAGACAATATATAATTTTGAACTGATTCCAATTTCAGCAATCTAAAAATACCAGGATTTAGTCAGAAAATATTGTCTACCATACTAATAACACCCAGTTCTTGATAATGACTGAAACAGTTCAAATTACTTGAAAAAAAAAAAAAGTTTTAAAAAAAAACAGGAACTTTATTCATAATTGTAATCCCAATAAACAACAACTCATTTGGAAATTCAAAATACATATAATAAAAAATTAAACAGAACTTTAATAAAACTTGTTTGAAGATACACACACACACACACTTTATATATATATATATATATATTAGTTAAACCTAGAGAGCCTACCAAGGTTTGTCTGGCTCCCTAGGTTTAACTAGGTCCGCTCTACTTACTGTATTGGGCACTTTATTTAGTTATTTTGCCTACTCGTATCGGGGTTTTGGACTTGCATGCTTGATGATTATTTTCGACTGACGTACATTTTCTTGGTTCTTTCTTTTTTTTTAATAACTTTTTTCCCCTTTGGTATTGGTTTATTTGCAAATCAAAACACTGAAGGTTTTCCAAATGAGTATAATTTCTTATACTTATAAGATTATTACTATATATATATATAT